TTTTCTCTGCCACTTTAGGACTCCTTACTACTTCTTTAGAGAATCAAGTAAGAAAAGAGGAGTCTTTTGATTGAAAGACTAAGCTAATAGGAAAGAATTATTTATATGAGTGAAAAAGATTTAAATAATACAGCAGTTAACTAGACATATGCAATATTTTTAATATTAAAAGACAAAACTTGTTAGTACGTCATATCAAGATTTGCTCAGATTTTTTAAAAAGCATCTTAAGATTTATTTTTAAAATGTCAGTATTTTGTCCTTGAAAAGATCTTAAAATTAAAAAACTCTCAAAACCAATATGAGGAAAGTGTGTTGATTATTTGTTCATAGTTATGTTTGGATTTATTTTGTGGCATTACATTCTTGAATTAGTAAGAGATTACTCTCTTGCTGTTACAAGGTGAAGTACCAAGTGATATTTTACTTTTAATCCATTTTTTAAAGATAGTGCACTTTCTGATTTCTTTAAAAGATGAACTGATGTACTTATTTTATTTTGAAAACTGAATGATGCACAAAGAAAAAAGCCACCCAATTTCCATTTGAATGAAATTTATGTGTAAGTTTCTAATTATATCTGGTATGAGTAAATAAATATACTTTTTTCCCTTTCCCCATTGAAGCTATGGATTTATGAAAGTATGTGTGTAGATATACACACACAGGGGTGATTGAGATTAGTTTGAGATTAGTAATTATTTTCCCTAACCAATAGCAACAAATGCTGAATTAGTATATTTTGAATTATGGGCTAATATTCCCCTACCTCCAAATGTGGGTGACTAACTGTTGTTTGTCCAAAGATTTGGATTGATAGATGATGAAATTTTCTTCAATTTAGAATTAGTCCTCCTGTGTATATGCTTGTATTATCAAAGTTTCATCCCATTACTGCTAATGAAATCAACATTAATTATAAAAACTGCCATGCTTGACAAATGGCCCCATTTAACTTTATTTCAAGGAAATTGTGGGATATTTTTTATTTACTCATAATATGGGAAATCATAAAACAAAGACTATGGTTCTGGGCTTTATTGCTTAGTAGTAAGATTAATACTAACACTCTATTTCATAATTTTTGGGGAAAAGCATTTACTTTTATGAAGGGGTTTTGTTGTGTAGCTCAAATAGAATATTTTTGATAGTCACTTAATAAACTATTATACAATATAATGTGTTCTTGGCAAAGTTGAATGAACAGGGCCTATCGTCTGAGCCCTGTTTAAAGTTTGAGCTCAATTTTAAGTCCTTAGAGGATATAGTAAAGTACCCCTTAAAGACCTGGAAGTGAAGAAAATAATTTGTGCTTGGAGAGTTTTCTTGTCTGTACACAGAATGGATTGTGGCCAAAGTATGAGAAGTCACTGATGCAGCCAGTGTTGGTCACAGCCTGTAGCTTGTAGCTTTTCCAGATGTTAGAATCTTTAAGGAAAGTGTGTGCTGCTCTGAAGTACCTGAAGTGGCCTTTTTCTCTTCACACTGGAGTCTCTGAAATACCGACCAGGATTGGCCATGCACAGGGACAGAACTGTAACACAGAAAAATCTGAACTATCTGTTGCTATTGTTAAGGGAGTGCCCATGGCAAGAAGGATTTTTAGACTATTAGAATATCCTGTTCATCAAACTCTGGTGATTTTGGTTAGTGGCTCCAAGCACAGTTCTAGCAAGGAGTACAGTTGATGATGTTATATTTTGGGTAATTACACTTTGTTATTGTGAATTTATAATTAGTCACTTTAATAGGTGTTATGTCTGGTGTATTAGTCTGGTAGGGCTGCCATAATGAAATACCAGACTGTGTGGCTTGAGAAATCGGTATTTTTTTCTCTCAGTTCTAGAGGCTGGGAAGTTCAAGATAAAAGTGCCAGGAAATTCACCCTTTGGTGAGAGCTGTCTTCCTGGCTTATAGACAGCTGCTTTTGCCCTCTGTGGTCACATGACCTTATTCAGACGTGCTCTGCTGCAGAGCAGGTGAGCTTTCTGGTGTCTCTTATTATAAAAATGCTAAACCCTTATGGCTTCATTTTACCTTAATTCCTTAGAGGCCCTATCCAAATACACTGGTGCTGGAAGTTAGGGCTTCAACATGTGAGGGGTGTGGGTGTGTGCTTGCTTGTGTACATGTATTCAGTCCACAGGCCAAAGTCCAGGACTGAAACTATAGAAATACTTTAATGTGCTGTTGTTGTATTTTCTTTTTTTCATCTGTACTGTGTCCAGCTGTGCTAGAAGGGATGCAGGGTCGCTCCTGAAGAGCTTAGAATGACATATGTTGCCACCACAGTACACTTGCAAACAAGGAAAGGTCCCACACTTAATTTGATCAAGAATATGTAAGGGAGACACATCTCGCAGGGTAGATGAAGGGTAACTAAGTGTTATGGTCAGTTACTACATGAAAACAAGATTCACGGATAAGAAACGTTTATTATTGCTAAGGAATTTAGGAGATTCACCAAATCTATCAAGGATTAAGAGAAAAGCAGTTTATTTGGGGGGATTTTAATACTGACATTCACAGAAATTAAAAAGTTAGAGAGTCAAGTTAGAAGGCATTAAAATTCAAGCCAAATTGTGCAGACCTCTCCTGCCGCCCGCTGCTCCCCTCAGCAGTGTATTTCGTCAGTCTGCCTGTTCTGCTCCCCGCTCTGGCTCTGGTGAATTCTCTCACTCTCCCACGCTTCTGACTGTACCAGTGCTTGTATAAATAAATAAATAAATAAATAAATAAATAAATAAATAAATAAATCTTTAAAAAAATAAAATAAAATTCAAGCCAAATGGAAAAAGGGAGATGCCTAGTAGGTAAGTGAAAACAATAAATCAATACATAATCATAGAGAGATTATTGGTGAGCAAGGTCATTGGCTCATCAGAGAATACACAGAATAATTACAATGCACAGAGAATATCTAACATGATAGTTGAAATATGAAGTATTAGTATTCATAGGGGACACTGAAGGAATAGTTCCAGAATTGAAAATTCAGTTTCTAGAGGGTCTAAATCCTAAAGATCTTAGTATTCTCCTTGAGAATAAAATGTAAATGCCTGAAGTAGTTTTGCAAATCTGAGTTTAGCTAGCTTGTGCCCTAGAATTTCAATGATTGCATAAAATGTAAAAACCAAATGTCAGTCTTGTTTGTATTTTTAATGTTGCACTCCTCACTTCTCCACGGGACTGTTAGAAGGACGTATATAATCCATATCCTTATGAAAGTGAATGATGGGCCTCCTTGAAATTAATTAGGGTAAAGACTGTCTGAGTAGTGTTCAGTTTAAACTTGTGGCTTAGTTTCAAAAGAAAGCTGTGTTCCAAGACAGATCTGTTTCTTTACCTTTGAAAGAAACATACCATTTCTGTTTTGTTCACAAATATATATTCCCTACACTTAGTACTGCCAGAGACATACTGAGCATTTGGTAAATGCTTGCAGAATAAATGAATCAGTATGAATTTTACTTTCAGTTTTGGATTTTTCTAGGAAGCTGATAAAGTATAAAGCAGTTCATGTGTGGTGCCCTAGGAAACATGAGACCTACCTGGCCGGTCTATAGTTATCTGTGTTTGAATGTAGTATATCAGATCTTTTGTATTCATTCCCTAATTATGTATTCATTGTTTTATTAATTATATATTCTGCCTTTAGTACTTTTTCTGAAGCTCTTGATGAAAATCAACTTTCCTTTAGAATAATTTGAATTTTGGGGCGCTCCTTTTCTCATGATCCTGTAATTCACTGATTATTTGCTCAAATATTTGTTTCCATAACCTTTGTTACTTTTATGTAGACACATTTTAGTGTTGGATTATCATCTCCAGCTAAATTTTATGGCTTAATAATAGTGGTTTACACTAACTCCTGGGACAGAATCATGAGTCATGTAGACATAAAATTATAGCATAATGAACACCAAAACTAAAGATGCAACATCTACTTTTACTCCAGCAAATGTGGAGAGAATAATTTTTTTCCAAAAGAAAACAGATTGAGCAGAGAGCTGTTGGAGTGACTGTGTTATACACTATTAATATAAAATATTATATGATAATTCACAGGGATTGAGCTGCTTTTAATGTTATATATGAGAAAAACATTTATGGGTTTTTAGCTACAGATTTTTGCAGATATTTTTGTGTTTAAAAGGAGCTTTTGGTTAATTTTTCAACTACATTGTTGATGTTAAAAAAATACTCCATCATCCTATCTGCATATGAACAATGAAAGTGACAGATTTGGGGCATCACAACAAAGTAGATTAAATGAACTCTCAATTACTTCATGTATTAACGTTTACATGTAAGTATATTCCCAGCATATTCTAAGTCAGGCCCACAACCGAAATGTAAAAATGAATATATTTTCTATTTAACTGAGTTGGGAAAACATATTTTAGTAATTAAGTTTTTTTAGAAATAAAATTGCTAGCTTCCAAGTACTTATACTTTAATTAAAACAACTGTATGTTGTAAGCTAATTTCTCTTAAATAATTCCTTTTTATCTTTTACTTTATTTTTCTTTAAGTTACAGCGCTGTATCTTGGGTAGCAGAGTAGAAGGACAATGATGGACTTTCCACCGAAAGTACAGAAGCAGTTTGGTAACAGGAGTTGAGTGACAGTGTTTCCTCCCAGTGTGTAGGTCCGGTCTGGATGGGCATCTGGGAGTAAGCTAACACGTCATGTGAGCTTGCAACAGAAGGTTGACTGTCAGTTTCCAGTAGCTACCACGCACACTGACCCAGAGGAATGTTGGTCTCCTGTGTCTTACTTTGCTCCATCAGTTATACCGTTCATGTTGAAGGAGGAAGCACCTTGTCCATGATGGGCATCACCTACTCTAGAAGCTCAGAATTCAGCCTCCTTGGTTTACTGATTGCCTTAAGCCACTGCAAGCACGTTGTACTTGCGGGAAGTTTGAGGGACGGGGACAAGGATAGGGTGGAACTATTTTTTTAATTTTTAATTTATTTTTAATTTATTTATACAAGAACCAGGGTACAGGCCAGATGCACGGAAGGGTGAGAGGACTCACCAGAGACAGAGCGGGGAACGGAACAGGCAGACTGACGAAATATACTGCTGAGGAGAGCAGCGGGCGAGACAGGAGAGGTCTGCCACGCCATGTGGGACCCTTGCCGGCCGGCGGGGATCGAACCGGCGCTGCAGAGGCTGCAGACAGCTTCACAGCGCAGCGCTCAACCACCTGCGCTACCAGGGGAGGCCCTAGGATGGAACTTTTTTTTTTTTTTTCAGGAATTCTGTAAGTGAAATTAGAGCTAAAAGAGTTGATTAGAGTAGCCTGTTTTTGCTTGTTTTCTGCCTAAATCGTGTTGATTTTGGAGATATATTTCTTTCGTTTCTTTTCAGTAAAGAGGATGCTATTAAATAGTATCATGGTAAAAACAATGTTTACTTCATAACCACTGAAACCTTGCTTTTATGAGAATAATGAATTACATTTATGAATGGCTCATTATATACTAGGGTTTATTCCAGCTTTCTGAGTTTGCCCATCCCTCCTTGAAAGCCCGTTTGGACGAGATAGTTCTCTCATGTCTCTTGATACAGCTGAGAGTTTTGAGCACGAGACTTACACCCACCTGGTTAAAAACTCTTCGTGAAACTTCACATCTGAAAAAAAAATCCACAGAAACCGGGGACACTTTTGAACCATCCCTCTTGCTCTGCACCCATGTGCATGGAGGCCCAGGTACCCTAGTGCTGGTGGTGCCGGCAGAGGCCTTCCCTCAGTGTGATCTAGATTGCAATTCTAGCTCTTTATTCTTTAGTTCTGCCTTGTTTTCCAAGCCTTTTTTTTCAGTGTCATCATTTTTTGTGTCCTACCTGAGTCCTTTTCTGCTTCAGTTAACAGAGATTGTTTCTGTTCTTTGCAATAAAGAACTCTGACTAGTACAGTTATTTTTGGCATAAATTGGTCTTAATCTCTAGCTATTTGTAAATATGTACTTTTTTTTTTTTTGGGAGGGGTGGACACTGCTGCTTAAACCATGAATTTTAGTTATCATTATAAAAGGAATTTAAAGGGGTGAGTATAAGTTTTACTTAAGTAGTGGCATCAGAAGAAACCAGTGAAAATCTAAAGAATACTGTTTATAAGAAACTTTATATTTTTCACCAAATTGAAAAGGATAGCACTTTTTTGGTAGATGTTATTGTTGTTCGTATAACCTTCATTATGAAAGGAGACAAAAACTGCTCTTAGGGGAAGGCCACCCCACCAGGCTACTCAAAGGGGCTGTGCACAACTTACACCCACACAGTCTTGAACAGCATCTCCTCAGATACAGATTGGGTGCATATCAGTGCACATATATAACAGTACACTTTGACTTGAAAGATGGCTGTCGCAGCTACAAGCATGCCTCACACATCACGCGGGGCTAGACAAGGAGACCAACATAAAAGAAAGCAGATCTGAGAGAGAGAGAAACAGTCCTGATGATATATCTAAATCCAGCCATGCCTGCAGCTATCCCTATTCCTGTATATTTACTCCTGTGAGCCAATATGTGACCTTTCTGTTTGTGGCAGCTTGGGTTAAGTTCTCTGTCCTTGGCAACCAAGGAACTTGGAAACCAAGTTTCTTTGGAAAGTAAATACTAAATCATCTTGTGGTAGCATGACAATATATTGCTATCACATTTTTAGGATTAACTTTTCTATGATATCTTAGTTATATATAACTTTTGTACCCACAGTATTAGCCAGGAAAGCCAACCAATACTTGAAATACCAATCCAGAAAGAGATGAGCATGAAAATTCAAATCTTCAATTCTGTAAAACTTGGAGATAACTGCGTTTTTCTTCCAATATGATGTAAAACTCTAAAGCACAACTTGGGAAATAAAAGCTTAAAAGAATATTTAAGTCACGTAAAATGTGTATTTGTAAAGAGTTAAAATTAGCAGCCATATTATAAACATTTGCTGGGTTATATTTGCTTTGTAACAAGCACTTTCTTATAATAATATTTAAATTCTAATGTTACCTCATTATATATAACTTTAGACAGTTTTGACATTGTAACGTCATTTTCTCTTAAATCTCAAGATTGAAAAATATGACCATAAGGATAAGAATAACACTGGCTCCAGATTTTTGTTGAAAAATGTATTTATTAATGTTGCGTTTAACAGCTCCAGTTTCTATATATCCCAGTCCTCCCCTAATCATCTTTGATTTGAAATTGATTTTCTTCATTTCCTTTGTCATTTACTGCCTCCTTAGATACAGGAATAAGTAAGGAACAAACAAAGTGCTCCTGGGGAAGGTGAAGAAACCTGTGTTAGTTGGGATTGTCTTGGGTGCTAGTATTTGAGACCTAATACATTAAAATTTACTGGGTCTAATAACTGCTAAGGAACAAGAGGTGTTTCTCTGACCTCAGTCGTGACTGGCTTCGAGGGTTCAAGCAATATCCCCACTGCTTTTTCTCTGCATGTTTCCATTTTGCTTTTCTCTGTGTTGCCCATGTTCTCTGGCAGGTGCTCTTCATGGGCTGCATGTGTCCAGCTGTATCATTCTTACAGCTGCAAATCTCAGGTAAGTGTGTGTGACTGTTGTAATCCCCAGTGACAATTAAAAATCTCCAAGAAAAAACCCAAACCAAAAAAAATAAAGCACATTGGCCTGGCTTGATTCTTATGGCCACCAGGACTGGGAGAGGAAGGAAGGTTGTCGAGAAAGTTCCCAGTAGCACTAATCAACTTCTGTTTACAAACTTTTCTACTTACTTTTGTTTCACTACCTGATGTCTGAACTCAATTAAGTTGCCTCCTTTTTCAAAGGTAAAAATAATACTTATGGCAGCATTTAGTTATTTTTTTTTTTTTAAGATTTATTTATTTATACAAGCACTGGGTACAGTCAGAAGCGCGGGAGGGTGAGAGAATTCACCAGAGCCAGAGCGGGGAGCAGAGCAGGCAGAAGGACCGAAGTACATTGCTGAGGGGAGCAGCGGGCGGCAGGAGAGGTCTGCGTGCCATGTGGGACCCTCCTCCGGTGGCCGGGGATTGAACTGGTGCTGCAGAGGCTGTGGGCAGCTTCGCAGCTCAGCGCTCAACCACTCCGCCACCAGGGGAGGCCCAGCATTTAGCTATTTTCATCCAGGGTAAATCAACATGACTTCTGAGATGCAGCTGGAATCACCTGGATTGCAGAACTGGGGATTTTGACTGTGGAAGGGAGAAGTGTGGTGATTTAGCAATCACCACAGCAGCTTGGACTTGGAGAGGCAGCATGGACTTGTGGAGTCATGTGACTGGCTGTGACTTGATCTCTTCCCAGCCAGGTGACTTCAGACCAGTCACTTAAGTTTTTAAAGCCTGATGTTTTTAATCTGTAAGATGAAAAATAATACTTAACTCATACAGTAGTATTGAATATTAAACGAGGTAAAATATGTAAAGTGGTGGGTGTTCAGCACATGATAGCTGACACTGTTAATCACACGACTGATCATGGTAATAGTGAACTCTACCCCTTGCACCTCTGTTCCCAGGCAGCCCCCAACTACCTAGGGTTCTGAGTTTTCAACATTCCTGCAGTTCAACTACATTAAGGTTTACATCAAATTTTACAGATAAGTCTGGAAGCCTGGTTGCTAGTCATACCATTGATGATATGGGGGAAATTTTCTTCAGCTTCAGGATGATGTTTTTGTAACCCAACACTTGCTCCATTTTTTTTATTTTTTCTAATTGTTTCTTTTATGAGGGTCAGGCAATCAAATAAGGATCAGAAACCATTCAGTACATTATTAGATCTAAGGTATATTCTAGAATAATAAAATATATGTGTACAGGCTGCTGACTGCTATAAAAAGTTGTATCCTGATTATGTGGCTTGCTCTGGGGACTGTTTAACTTGGAGCCTAATTAAGCTACAAATGAAAATACAAGCTTTTTCATTGTGTTTTTGTATTCAGGTATTTAACATTTCGCTTTAAAAGTCCTGTCATGATTTGTGGTACTTTATAGTGGAAGCCTGATCGACTCATTATGAGGAAATGTGGTTATGGCAAAAAATTCTCTTTAACTTAAGACTATCGTTGTGAAAACTGATCTCAGTGAAAGTCACACCAGTATGTCAGGATAAATGTACAGCTACTCAGGGACAGCCAAGAGAGCATGCTGTCTGTGGTTTTGTCAGTGATGTGTGTGTGTGTGTGTTTGTGTGTGTATACATATGGTTGAATATTTTGGAAACTATTCATACTCAGAATTTGAGACTTGTACTTCTGTAAATTTGCAGTTTCTCAATTCTTGGTGATCAGTGAGAATAAGTAATTTATGGGTGAACAATTTTAGACATACAGAGCTCCAATGATTTCTTTCTGGTATAAAAACTTTACAGCCAAATCTTTGAATATTGTCATGCTTGCTTCAGCTAATGTAAGTGATTGTCACAAGATATTAAGGAATAAGAGTTATGAGTTGATACTATACTGGCTCGTTAAAGAAAGTTTACTATTTGGATCTGTAGACATTGCATGGCACGCTTACATTTAAACATCCTCATCCTTTTGTTCATCGTCAGTATATTAAATGTGTGCATATGAGTGGCTTGTCACAATCTAATGTGATTGGAAAATAGCTAATATAGTATATTCTAAATGATGGCTTTTTATCTTCAAATGTTAAAGAGAGCATATTACTAATTTTCAAGAAAAGATGTCACCAAAAAAACCCTTAAAAATTAATGGATATTGGTTTATAGTAAGAGGTGATTTTCTAAATAAAATCTGGAAGCATTGCTGTAAGTGTATTCCCTCTTTTAGTGTACTTACAGATAACATCTTCATGATCTATGTCTTCCCTTTTTGGGTTGTCAGTGATTTACATCGGGAGTATATAATCAAGAAAATATAATTGTTTCTGACAAATAAATATCTATCCTTTTTAATATTTTCTGCAGTAAACACTTGTGGTATTTTTAATGTGTGGTTGTCTTTCATATTTCACATCATCTACTCACAATCATAGAGTTTTCAGTTTTGGAAGAGACCATAAAGGTCATTTATTCATTCCTGGTGTATTTGATGGTAATGTGCTCTTGCAGATGTAATACAAAATTAACACCTTAGGGAACATTTTTTACTTTCTAAAATGTCATTGTATTTCATGTAAACAGCTTTTTTTTTTTTAATCTTTCTTGCCAGTAAGAATTATAAGTAGAATTGAGGACAGAATTTCATTTTTTTAAAAAGATTTATTTATTTATGCATATCAGAGCTGGGGCACAGACCAGAGATGCCGGGGGTGCGGGTGAGAGGATCCACCAGAGACAGAGTGGGGAACAGAACAGGCAGATTGACTGAAATACACTGCTGAGGGGAGCTGCGGGCGCCACAGGAGAGGTCTGCTGTGACATGTGGGTTTCTCCCTGGCCGGCCAGGGATCGAACTTGTGCTGCAGGGGCTGCGGATTGCTTCGTAGTACTGTGCTTAACCCCTTGCACCACCAGGGAGGCCCAGAATTTCATTTTTGTAGAAATCGAAAATCTTTGAAAGAGACTCTGTTACATTTTCTTCCTTTCTGATAATGGGGAAATATGATGTGAGTTATCATACAGACTCCCATAGGCATAGCCAGTTACCCTTTGAGTATAATCCAGTCCAGATCCACAAGAACTTGCCAGGATTATGTATTGAGTTAGTGTTTATTAGAGATGAATTGAAATACTAGGCCCGATTGTCAGGTCAGTTCAGCCCAGAGCCATGGATGCTTTCCTTGTGTTATAATGTAAAGGGTTGACAACCAAAGGCATAAAGAGAGTCGCCTCTCCTTGCGTCTTTCCCTCTCCAGTTTCCTCCCTAACTTTCCTCGTGCCTCCCCCTTCCACACAGTCTCGATGATTTTAATCATTTTTCCCCCATCATACACACATGCAATCACACACACACCCATACACAGTTTTGGTAAGTTTTAAAAAAAAATTCATTTTATAACTTTAAGTCAAGGTATCTGAAGTGCCCATTGCTACCCTTAAAAGACTTTAGTATTAGTCACAGCTGGAGACAGAAGAGGAAGCCTAGAAGGAGCACTTCAGTTTTCAAGTACATTCTGGTTTTTTCCTTACCATAAATTGTTGATGCTTATTTTTAGTAGATGTTCGCTTTAGAAACCTGTCTTTTGCCCTCGTCATCAGTTGGTTTCTGCGGAAATCACTTCAGCATCATAGGCTGACACCCTGACTCTCCAGCAGTGTTTAATGAAGAGAGTAAGTTATTTGGTTTTCAGTCTGTAAAGCAAATTCCAGGAAGGTTTTTCATTTACCCAAAGTTAGATAACCTGTATGTGACAGAGTTGGGACTAGAACCTAAATGTTTGCAATCTCTATCAAATTCTCTTCCTACTGCAATAAATTCCATTTTTTAGAAAATAATATGAATGGTTCATGGAGCGATATGTTACCTGAGGCTTAAGTGATTGTTGTCTCTGAAGTGTTTTCTCTCCCCCCATTCTTTTCCACACTTCTTTATTAATTTTCAGCTTGGATCTGGTTCTTTATTGTGCTGAATTTTTAGAGAAATATGTCATTTTTTTAAGGATAAAATAGCCAATGATATAACCTTCTTTCTCTAAGTTCAAATCTGCCTCCTCCTTTTTTAAAATTTGGATTTATAATATATGTCAAAATCATTTGTAATGTTTTTGTTTTGCAAACCAAAAAATCATGCAGTTTGGAACTATTTACATGTTAAGAATTCATCACCACATTTAAATTGCAAAATTTAATGTCATTATATTTGATTTAATGTTAGTATTTGATCTTACTTATAATGTCTGATTGTGAGTTCTTTCTTTATTGTGGAGGTCATGATACCCATTATTAAAGAAGACTTAACTAGACTTGATTTTCCTTATGAGCGCCCAGGTTCCCCTCGCAATTTCAGGCAACACATGCTGTTTTACTGGAAGAGTAACTGGACGATAAAGTCTGATTACTTTTTACCTCCCATGATAAACCTTCTGTTTGTTTTCTGAGTTTACTAGTTAAAGGTACATGATAAACTTCCTGTCTCTGTTTGATGCTGCTAAATCAGACAGTAATAAAATGGCTGCCAAGCTGTAGCAGCTCTTCTCTTAATTCTATTAAGCATGGATTTCCTAGATGGTCATGCATCTGGTGTGTCCAGAACCTTTTTACTTTGAAAGCACTAACATCTGCAATATCAATTTTAAACTTCAAATGATAGGTTAGGAAGGGGCTTCCACATAAGTGAAGATGAAGTGTTCTTCCAATTTTTTATGGAAATTTATTTTCACTTTTCTGACTATGATCTGCTTTTCCTAGCAATATGCAACAATTCTCTGCAGTCATTCTCACTTAA